CGTGTACGTGCGTGTACCCGCGCGTACGTGCGTGTATCTCCGTGTACCCGCGTGTACGTGCGCGTGCCCGCGTGCACGTGCGTGCATGTGCGTGTACCCGCGTGTATACGTGCGTGTACCCGCGTGTACGTGCGTGTGCCCGTGTGTACGTGCGTGTACGTGCGTGTATCAGCGTGTACGTACGTGTATCTGCGTGTACGTGCGTGTACCCGCGTGTACGTGCGTGTACGTGCGTGTACGTGCGTGTACGTGCGTGTACTTGCGTGTACGTGCGTATACCCGCGTGCACGTGCGTGCACGTGCGTGTACGTGCGTGTACCCGCGTGTACGTGCGTGTGTATGTGCTCCCACGCACTTAGCTGGGAAACGCCGGCTGATTGCGTTCCTAGCAACATACGCGCTACCGCGCCTTCCGTCATGTCTCTGTGCGCATGTGCAGTAGGTATACGTTTTATTTGGCGATAGACGAGCCTCGGCAATTGCTCGATTGACGAGCCTCGGCAATTATTGCTCGATAGACGAGCCTCGGCAATTGCTCGATAGACGAGCCTCGGAAATTGCTCCATTCCATGATCAGGGGCGGATCCAGGGGGGGGGTGTGCAGGGGGTGCGCACCCCCCCCCTAAAAATTTTGAGTTGCCCTCTTTTCTGGCCCACGGAATTTTTTTTTCTCCAATTTTTTTAAAAATTATATAGATTTTTAAGCAGAAAAAATACTGAAAAATAAGTTGATGTTTTCCGAGGAGTTTTTTAGGGGGGACGGGGGGCCGACCCGACTTGTTTTCTGGGCTGCGACAGATCGCCGCCAGGCTGCGCCACCGTTGATTGCTTTGTTATAGACTGGTACCCTCCTGGGGTAATAACCCCCCTCTAATTTTGCTTCAATAATTTCATTCTGAATAGTATTCGATGTTATCTTTGCATTTACTTAAAACGTACTTAGTAGTACTATTACTATATTCTCTCTGGCAAGAGCCCACTCATTTGGTCTAAATTTGGTAAAAGTAAGTACTACTGGCTCAGGGGCGTGTACGGGGGTGGTGGGTCCAGGGGGTCCGGACCCCCCACCTGCTCGCGCAGAAAACGCATCTGAGGGGGTCTAATTTAAAAAAATGTCTGGACCCCCCCTTTGCGTGCTCCCAAGTTTGGGTTACGGTTGGACCCCTCCCTGGTACAAATCCTGTACACGCCCCTGTGCCAGTAGTACTTACTTTTACCAAATTTAGACCAAATGAGTGGGCTCTTGCCAGAGAGAATATAGTAATAGTACTACTAAGTAAGTAATAGTAAAGATAACATCGAAAACTATTCAGAATGAAATTATTGAAGCAAAATTAG